GAAAAAATTCCTTCCCATAATTTTCCACGTTTCGGGGGCATTTTTGGGGTTGAGAAAGTAAATGCTTGTGTGTATTTATGTATAAAATTCCCAACGTATCTACGTTGTATAGTGAGTATACGGTGATTGATTGGCTGCTATTCTTTCTCATTGTGAACGAATGTAATGGTGTTTTATGCATCTTTCTGTGTTCTGGTCTATAGTTGGAATGGATTGGTTTGCTTTTGATAACCGCTTTTGCCCAAAATCCGGCCTCTTATATAGGCGTGTAAAGGCTTTAGTCCACGCTAAGGCTTCATGGTCCTTTTACATCGAATATGATGAGTCTGCCTGATGCAACCCCTGGGAAATGCATGTCGACAAACCCAAAAAAAAAAACACAACATGTGGATCTGCGTGATTTATTTGTTGCGCTAAAGTAAGGTTGGGTCTGGTTCGCTGCGCAGTGTTACGCAGTAGCTTACTGTTCATTCATAACACACACACACACACACATAAAGTGGCGATGACCTTACCCTGTGGAATAAACCAACTGACCGACTAGCAATTTCACACACATATACACGAGATATTGACTCGATGACATTGCACGCATCGTATGAAGACAAGCTCATCAATGTCAGTCGCAGATGGAAGTCGTGCAGGGAGCGGTGGCATGCCACGCGGGCGACCATGAGGTCTGCCTGTGCCACCCTGCAGTCGTGGAGGAGGTGGTAATGCGCCTCCGTCATCCTCCCTCCTCCTCTTCCTGCCTGCACGACTTGTCTTCACATTATCAACAATGGCTGATGGCAGTCGTGCAGGGAGCGGTGCATGCCTAATGGACAACGCACAGGCGGGGCAGCCGCCGTTGACGAAGTGGATGCTCCACTCGCGTGCGCAGCCGGGCGTTGTAAAGTCACCGATGGGGGGTGGTGTAGGGCACTGCCAAGGAACAATGCGGGAGATGAAGTGCCACCACCATGTCGTCCAACTATCGTCGATCTGCCGATAAGATGAACGCCTGCTGCATCGGGTGATGAGGTGGCACGTGTGGGCATGGGCCGAATCCCATAGAATGAGGCAGTCGGTAGTCTAATTCACTCTCCCTCTTCCCCCCCCCCCTCTGTAGCAACCTGAGCATCCTCACTCTGGATCATACTCTCGCGTGTAGATGCCACACCCCTCCTCTCGCTGGCCCTGTCCTCAGTCCATCGAACTACGCTCTCGTCCATGGTAACGTCGACCTGAACCTCCAAGCTGTGTCCATTCCTCTGCTCTCTCCGGTGTTCAATCCTCTGGTCAGCCCTCTGCTCCGCCCTGTCTTGCACCATCCCATCTACCCTCTGCTCCACCCTCTGCTCCACACCAAGCTCTGCGACAGACGCTGGTAATGGGTCCGCCCTGTCATCCACCCTTTGGCTGACGTGCGCTGAGGAAGCACAACCAATGCTCTGCTCCGAGGTCTGAACCACTGTAGGACGAATGATGTCACTGACCCTACGCTCTCCACCTCCGCCCGCCACCTGTCCATCACCATCCCCACCACGTAGCACGACCCTCTGGACAACTGAGTGAGTGATGCTCTGTGAACCGCCGCCTCGATGTGTAACCTGGTCAGCGACCTGGCGCACCTGGTGTGTGTCCTCCGGCCTGTCATCCGCATGACGACCCTCCCTCCCAATCATCTCCTCCTCTGCCCCTCGCAGAATCCTCTCACCAGCGTGATGGGGTGCTGCAGGAGCCGACGTACGTGCATCAACTGAAACACCCCCAGTATGACCTCCCTCTCCGTCAGTCGACGAATGTGGAACGTGCTGACTTCTCTCCTCCTCCTGCCCTACCTCTATGCCGCCTGCCTTGCTATCCCTAGTCAGAAGCTCCTCCAAATCTACCCGACCCCCAACCCTCCTCGGTAGACTCCTCACGGTATCCACACTTTGCCCGATGTATGCGTCGAAATCGGTGTGAGGGTCCGCTCCACTCCACGCGTCCAATAATTCATGCTGGTCCTCTGGCAACGTACGACCTGGGTCTCTCTGCTCCTGCTGCGCCTCCATCATCTCTCTGTGCATCCACACCGCATCCTGCCAAAGGGCCTCATCACCCTCCTCATCCTCATCCTCATCCTCCATCGGTGCCTTCCCCTTCCCAAATCGATTACGCCCCTCCTTCCTCCTGTTCCTCCTGTCGATCTCCTCCCACTCCTCCTCTAACACCACTGCGGGGACACTGTCGTCACCTTCGATCTCCTCCGCAGGGTCCTCCACCTGGTCCTCCTACACATCAATGTACCGCCTGTCCATCCTCCTGCTGGCACTGAGGAGCTGCAAGTTCCAGTGAATGAAAACCAGCTTCTTGACACTCTCTGCAGAAAGGCGGTTCCTCATCTCCGTGTGGATGAAATCGTGCGTGGACCAGTTCCTCTCGCAAGGACTGACCGTGGACCACATACCCAAAAACCTCTTCGCAATCGTCTGCAGTCTCAGCTCCTGGCCACCGTGAAGCTCCCACCACATCGCTGCATGCATCCCCCCCTCCGCCGCATCCTTCACCGCATACTCGTCCCACCAGTGCGCTCCACTCTTCGGCCAATAGCGAGGGTCCTCGCAATGGAAAGTCCACAATGCCTGCCAAAGCTTATGCACAGAATCAGACTCCCAACCCACACCCTGAAAGCGAGCCAAGTGGTCTAGCGCGCTCTGCACGAGGGAGCTACTGCGGTCCGCCAGCAATGAGATATCATGACGGCGAGGATCCAACAGATACGCAGCCGCATGGGCAGGCTGACGCATCATCCTGCATCTGTCGGATATGATATCCATGACCGCCCTCCTCTCATCCTCCATCAGTCCTAGAGCCTTGACCCTCCCCCGCAATATGCTCTCCAATCCCACAATCATGTGGGTGATGACCCATCCCTGTCCATATCCCTGAGGAACCTGAAGCACGGGGCCATGACGTCCACGACCATCTTCACCCTCCCCCACCAAGAATCGTCTCTGCACATCCTACGCACCTCGGGCTCATCCCTCCTTGCATCCCCAGTCCACTGCACCTGCGCCCACAACTCCCCTGACACGAGCTTGTCTAACATACCCCTCTGCTCATATAGCCTCTCCAGCATCATGAACACCGTCCCAAAACGCGTCTCCGTTGGTCGCGTCAGTACTAGCCCGCTCTTCATGGCCTTGTGAAGTGCTAGGGCTCGCTGTTTGTTGCGCATGAACTTGACTATCTTGTGCGCCTTCCTCATGACAGTGGCCGCCCAAGGCTGCACCGCAATGTCCCTCAATAGCAAGCTCAAGCAATGTGTTGCACACAAGATCCAAGATATGCGACGAATAGTTGGGTCGGGGTGTGACTGCAAGATGCCGACTGCTGTCTTCATCACTTCTGCGTTGTCGGTGCAGATGGCATTCACATTGTAAATGCCAATGTCATCTCTGACGACTTCCTCCCATATCTCTGCCAGGTCGACTCCCGTCTTCTCCCGATGTGACATGTCGATGGTCCGGATGAGGATGGGTCTGGACTGTCCTGCTACTATGAAGTTCATGATGGGCTTGTTGGTCATGTCAGTAGCCCCGTCTGTCAGCAACGTGCGTCCTGTGGTAGCCCACTTTGCCTTTTTAGGTGCAATGAGGGTTGCTACCTCGTGGAAAATGATGTCCATCATCCTCGTGCGGACTCCCTCGTATGTCAGCAGCCGTGGCACCGGCACGATCGAAGGACGTAGGAGTGTGACTATGTAGTTCCAATAGTCTTGTGTCTCCTTCAACCGCATCAGTTGAAGGGCACTCCACGTCGATAGATAGCAAGGGCCAACAGACGATCAAGATCCTGTTGGACCTTGTTCCCTAGATGAACATCTAGGGTCGTCTGTCTCCTCCTCGTCACCACCTGTGTGGAGGTGGTGGCCGTCGTGCCAGTAACCCGCGCCCCCCCTCCATCCCCTCCACCATCTCCTGCACCTTCAACGCCCCGCAACTCATCTCTCACAGTCCCGGCATCCTGCCCCTGCCGTGTACCACCCTTACCACAATCACCGTCCCCAACTCCTCCTGCACGATCCGGCACCGGGTCACATGGCTCGTCCAACTCACGCAGGTCCTCGGCGGCAAACTGTCCATCCATTCTGTCTGCGTGCTTAGCAGCTAGTCTGAGTGACAATGCATCCCTCAACAAAGCACCAGCCGCTTGCAGTATATACAAAATCTCCCCATTCCGTCGGGGGCAGTGTGCCTTCGGTTTCGTGAAGTGCTCCACTGCTCTGGACCTCGAACCCATGAATACCTCCCCACACAGTCGGCAACGCAGAAGGAAGTTGCCTCCGCCCGCCAACCCCCACTCCTGCCCCCTTTCCGCCCACTCCCACACCACATGTGTTCGCCTCAGATCTGCTTGCTTGTGCGCAGGCACTGACTCGAATGGAGGGAGCTGCCCCCCTCGTGGTCGTCTACCGCCTGCCGCCATGACTACGACGGGGAGGAACAAGATAGCGACTGGCCACCTATGAACGCTGGCCCAAGGAATGAATGATTGCTAACTCTCAAATCCCTTGAATTGGTGTCGAATCCTATGAGACCCCTACGTCAGCCTGACATGCAGCAAAAGTTCAAGCTGCATGGACAAACCAAGACAGCCATGGATGGATGGATGGATGGATGGATGGAGGGAGGGAGGGAGGGAGGGAGGGAGGGATGGATTGACGGACGGACGGACGGACGGACGGACGGACGGACGGACGGACGGACGGACGGAGGAGGGACGGATGGATGGATGGATGGATGGATGGATCGATCTCCGCCATCACCCTCATGAAGTCCATCTTCTCAACATCTTCCTCCATGTACTCCAAGGCCTCCTCCATCCACCATCCTCCATGTACTCCTCCTCCATCTCCTCCTCCTCCATGCCCTCCTCCATGTCCTCCATCTCCTCCTCCTCCTCCATTTCCTCCATCTCCTTGGATGGATGGATGGATGGACTTCATGAGGGTGATGGCGGAGATTGATCAATCGATCCATCCATCCATCCATTCGATCCATCCATCCATCCATCCATTCGATCCATCCATCCATCCATCCATTCCATCCATCCATCCATCCATCCATTCCATCCATTCCATCCATCCATCCATCCATCCATCCATCCATTCCATCCATCCATCCATTCCATTCATCCATCCATTCCATGCATCCCATCCATTCCATCCATCCCTTCCATCCCTTCCATTCCTTCCATCCATCCCTTCCATCCATCCCTTCCATTCCTTCCATCCATTCCTTCCATCCATTCCATCCATCCATTCCATCCATTCCTTCCATCCATTCCTTCCATTCCATCCATCCATCCATCCATTCCATCCCTTCCATTCCTTCCTTCCATCCAATCCTTCCATCCAATCCTTCCATCCAATCCATTCCATCCATCCATTCCATCCATCCATTCCATCCATCCATTCCATCCATCCATCCCATCCATCCATCCCATCCATCCATCCCATCTCCATCCCATCCATCCATCCATCCATCCATCAATCCATCCATCACCCTCATGAAGTCCATCGTCTCAACATCTTCCTCCATGTACTCCAAGGCCTCCTCCATCCACCATCCTCCATGTACTCCTCCTCCATCTCCTCCTCCTCCATGACCTCCTCCATGTCCTCCATCTCCTCCTCCTCCTCCATTTCCTCCATCTCATGGATGGATGGATGGATGGATGGATGGATGGATGGATGGACGGACGGACGGACGGACGGACGGACGGACGGACGGACGGACGGATGGACGGACGGATGGATCGATTGATTGATCTCCGCCATCACACTCATGAAGTCCATCTTCTCAACATCTTCCTCCATGTACTCCAAGGCCTCCTCCATCCACCATCCTCCATGTAATCCTCCTCCATCTCCTCCTCCTCCATGCCCTCCTCCATGTCCTCCATCTCCTCCTCCTCCTCCATGGATGGATGGATGGATGGATGGATGGATGGATGGATCGATGGATGGATGGATGGATGGATGGATGGATGGATGGATGGATCGATTGATCGATCTCCGCCATCACCCTCATGAAGTCCATCTTCTCAACATCTTCCTCCATGTACTCCAAGGCCTCCTCCATCCACCATCCTCCATGTACT